AAGGTATGGGGCACATATATATATATCATTATATATCATTATATATCAAAGAAGAATTCGATTATCAGATTTATTTTGATTATATCATATTCCTTAAAAGCAAAATATTAGTAGTATAATTATATATATATATATCTCATTCAGAAAAAGATTATATAATATCTTCCTAGCTATTGATCTAAATTATTTCATCGCGGCATGACCTTCTTCACGAATTTAAAATTGATTTTCACGTCATCATCGTGGATTTTCGCGAAGGTATATTTCCATAGTTTTGTAAGTTAGAATCTTGAGTTATAAATGAAAAATATCTCGAAAATAAATTATTACGAATATTATGACTAAGAGCTTTTGACAGACTTCCTAGATATGTCAAGATTAATTGAAAGCAAAAATAATTAGCAATGACTATTTAAGATCGTAAGAAATCATCCTAGGATTTAGATTCTTGATAAAATTTCCTGAAATTTCTCCATTGCAAAATTTTTGGTGCATCAATTCATTGAGAACTGTCGGGAATCTTTCCCAGAGATTTTAGGATCGATGAGATTTTTAGCTAGCAATGGAAGATTATGAATCGCTTTCTTTCTGAGATAATTTCAAAGGTCGTAGAGATTTCTTAAGAGATTTCTTTTTCGTCAGTTCTTCGCGAAATTCTCTAATATCTATCGGAGACGATCTTTATTTGACTATATCGTTGTTAATATCATTTGCACAAAATTTATATGTTACAACCTTTTTTAGAATTCAATTTTTGATTTGGCGTTCATAAAATTGTAGGAAATATATATAACGAATAATAATAATTAATAGAGAATAATCTTTATAAAAATAATAAGAATAGTAATAACAACAATAATAGTAGCAATAATAATCGAAATAAAAATATCAATATTCGCAATAAGTTCATAATAAGAATAATACGAATATCAAATATAGCAGCAAGAACATTTAAAATAATAGACTAAGAATATATAAATATTGATCTTAAAAGAATAATGAAAAATATGCATATTTATATATTTTTATACGATTCATAGAAATATCAAAAGAATTTTAAAAAAAATCATAAGTCTCGTAGAAATATTAATATTCCTAATAATCTAATAATTATTATCATCATAATATAAATTTGGATATTGAAATAAATAGAATAAGAATTAATTTTTGCGAATAAAGATATTTTAATAATATTTCAAATTATAGCCAAAATAGAAATATAATGATTCATTAAAATAGATTAAATCAATATTTCTCGTGAATTTTTTCATTATATCATCGCCAAAAATCGAGAAATCACATTTAATTTCATAATTAATCATTCATATAAATAATATTTACTAGCTCGAAAAATTTTGAATCAATTAGCTTCTATATTGTTCAACTTGGATCCTTATTAGATCTCCTATATATTGCCGAAAGCATCGCGAAGAGTTCTTCCGTATGAAACCTTCTAGAGAACTATATAGGATCAAGTACACAGAGTCAGCGTATAGAGCATAATACACAGAGTATAGTTCAGCAGGGTGAAGTAGATCGACTGAAAGGTATCGAGTCAAGTGCATAGTAGACAGAATGAAGTTCATGGGAGCCAAATATATCGAGTGAAGTCAATCGAGTCAAGTGTATAATTCATACGAGTGAAATATATCGAATGAATGAAGAATATCGAATGAAGTAAATCGAGCCCAAATAGACAGAGTCAATGATATCGAGTCAACGACTTTATCTAGATCTCGATATCTATCTTTCTTTTTAAAGTCGGAGCCAGCACCGATGTCATCGATCGGGAATGCAACCCATTGCATCGAGAGAAATGCATAGATAATAAGAGAGGACAGATATAGAATCGCGATAAAGATAGAGTCAAGCACATGTAAGGTATAGTAAATAGTGTCGAATGTGGGTAATATCATAAGGTGAAATAACGATAAATATAGAATAGAGATAATATAGAGTCCATAGAATCAAATATATCGAGTATCTTTAATTTTAAAACCTAAAGTTTAAATATATAGATAATCATAATTAGTAAATATAGATAGAATTATAATAGATATAGAGTCAAATTCATATAAAATATGGCAAATAGAATCGAATATAATAATTATAGAATAACGATATATATAGGATCCATAGAATCAAATATATCGAATTCCTTATTTCCTAAATTCTAAAGCTAGTTTTATACTTAATTATCAATATAACTCTATGCACTGGATTCTATATATTCAAATTGTATACTTTATTCTCTAATTCTATATATTGCACTCTATGACTTTACATAGCGCTTATTTAGAACGATATAGTTTTATTTTTGCTTCCGATCTTTTCTTAAGATCAAGTCTTTCTATATAACGATATTTTTCTTTAATCTTAGCTTAACTTCTCCTATAAGTTTCGTAAGTACTAGAACCACATCGATATTATGCCTCGGACAATCACCTCGAGTACTCGTTCCTTTCCTAGCCAATTACGACACGATCTCTTTAAAGGGTCAATCTATGAGCTTATATATCGTGTTCGATAATACAAATAGTCCAAAAGCGTGTCTCAAATATCTTCTTTAGCGGATATTCGTTCCTAATCCCGAAATCTTTATTAAAGCAATGAAATATATATTTAAAACCGACAAAATTTCTTATCTATAGAAATATAAGCACAGCATTCTTTAGAGTCGGTCTTAGCCTTATTTGGTCTTCATCTCTTTGGTTCGAGAGTTGCCATCTCATCTTCCTTCTTCTTCACTGATATTGCAATCAATTCTTCCTCATTAATTATCTATTTCTAGTGCTAAGAATCGCTTGCTCGCGCTTGGGCATGATGTATCGATCGAAAATATTGAAGAATCTTTGGTATGCCCTCGTGTCATACTTATTGAGTAAGGGATCGCAGATGAGCAGAGTTTATGAATGCATGCAGAGCTTGTATGGCACGTTGCAACAGTGAAAATGAGGTTATGATCGCGGTTTTAAGCTTCCCGCTCAGGGGGACGGCAATGTTCCTCCCGGACTCGACCGTGCTCCGGCCAGAAAAGGGCTCCCAGCTAGGAAAGTGTGAGAAAGCCACGCGCTTGGTCGAAGGCCAAGTCCCCCTTGAAACCACCCAGGTCCAGGAACTCTTGAATTGTCCGCGCTTTTTTGTAGACCTCCGAAGCTTTCAAAGACGGCGCTGCAAGTTCACAGCACTCACACGGCAAACGGGCCTCGTATCGCACGTGTGCCTCAGTACCCTTCTTTTTCGGGTTCGTCTGGAGAAATCGTAGCTTGCGCTTCAAGTCGCCTCGCAAGCGCGGAGTGCTTGGCTTTCACAGCTACGATTCCCTACGCCCCAAACAAAAAGCGGTCGGCGGCCCGGTCCCTGTCAGTGCCCCTTTCTACAAGCCTCGTCTGGAGCCCTTCTTTGCCGGGCCCGCGCTCGCCGCGCTCGCTGCGCTCGCTGCGCTCGCTGCGCTGCTGTTGGCATCACGGTAGCCCTTGGTGCCGTTCCCGTCGAGGATTATGGGCTTGAAGCGTCCTGGGCTTCTCAAACTCAAAAAGAGATCGCACTGGTGATCTTTTCTAGTCGACCAAGCTGCGGCAAGAAGAATCTGTGATGAGCTTGTGAAAGGCCAACATATCTCCATCTTCCCGAAAGGCTAGACCAGTGTGATCCCCTTTGCAGGACATCTCGGTAATCCTCAATGATCTGTCCTTCGCGCTCTTTTGAAGGATGACTTGCTTGCGGCCTTTTTGGCGAGAGTGTTTCAGCAGGTAGACAACCTCCAGGTGGAAGGGACCCTTCTTCTTGCTCTTCAGGCACTCGAAGAGCCTTGAGACCTCTGCCCGACTGCAGAGCTCCGGGCCCCCCGAAGGCGGTACAGGACAGCCCCGACAGCCGCGGCCGCCGGAACCTTCGCCTTCTGGCTGCCAGCGCTCGTCCCGGAGCTTCTCCAGATTCTTCGCCTCTGCATCCAAGGCAGCGACGAAGAGCGTCCGCGCCCCGGAGCGCAGAACTCGCCGCAGGCGCTCGACAGATCGCCGGTAGGAGCTGCGGTCGCGGCTTCCATTGCGGGCACCGGACCAGAGCTGATGGTGTGGGAAGACTACGTTCTTCGCCTCTGCAGGTGCAGGTGCAGGTGTGACGACTCTCTATGACTGCCCCAGAAGAGACTGCCTCTGAAGCAACACCATAAGAGGAAGGGAGCCCGGGGGCCCCTCCCGGAGCCCCGGGCTCCGCTCCCGGCCTTGGTGGACTGCATTCGGCGATAGACGCGGTGGATGGTGCCGCACTTCTCCTCGGATTGCCCGGTGCCACTTTCACACCTCAACTGCACTGCACTGCACGCATCTCTGTGCCATCACTGCAACTGCCAACTGCCTTTGACAACAGGCCTGTTACCTCGATTCATTCTCCAAGGGCACTTGGTTGTGTCCAAGAAAGTCTTGAAGTCGTCCAGCAGCGCGTGACGCACCAAGTATGGCGTGGAGTACATCCAGTCGAACGGGAACTTGCAGATTCGAATGCCCTTGTTCTGCAAATGTTTGGCGATGAGACAGCTGCCACCCAAAGGCACCACCTCAATGCGGAGCTAGTGTGCGATTCAAAGTGATCTAGTGCGCTGCCCACTAGCCAAGCAGCATGGCCAAAGGTTTGCTTCCTAGCTTTCGATGAATTGCCGGTCTTTCCCATGGCCGGTCCACAACTGGCTTCAAGATGTTCTGGACTGCATGTTTTGATGTCACGGTCGCTTGGAGCTGTCTTAGGAGTTTCAGTTCCTGGCTCGGCTTCCAGCCTGACTTGAGAAGGCACAGACGGGGTGGGGGTCGGGGTCACGCGCGCAACAGAGCTCTTCCATGCTCAGTCGCTCGTGTTTTCTGGCCAGAACCGGCTTTACGACACGTGTTCCTAGTCGGCCTGCCCTCTTCAGCGTGTAAAGCCACCGCCACCTGAGTACTTCTGCCACTGCGAGCTTCAAAGGTGGAGGCGGAGAAGTTTCCTGTGCCACCGGCCGTGGAAGGCCAGGTTGGTGGTCCCAGGTCGCTGGGGCAAAGCCTCAACAAAAATAAGGGCGCTGATGGTTTCCATTGCAGCAGTGCGGCAAGCATGTCTTTTTTTCGGGTGCTCGACCGGCAGCTCCTTCTCTTCACGATCTTTGAAGAAGATCTAGCCGAAAGAGAGGCGTCTGAAGCGTCCCGGTACCGTGCCGGACCGTGCAGCCTGCATCGTGAAGACCTTTCGCTGCGGATCCCAGCTGGTGAAGAACTTGTTCTCGGCCTTGTCAATCTCCATGTTCGGAACCTGCGAGCGCGTGTGGCACAACGTCGTCTTAAGCTCGCGACACTTGCCGCGAATCGCGCGCCGAAGTTCCTTGAAGGCGATGGTTTCGTAAGGCTCGCAGGCCGTGAGCAGGTACTGGAATTTGGACTCAGCGGTGCGCGAGCTTTCATGTCTCAGAGGCAGCTGAAATTCGCGAGACACCGACCTCGGGAGGCTCCACCTGACTCGGATAGGATTTCTAGGAAACCGCAGAGACTCTCCGACTCTCCGCCTTCTGCTCGTAGGCAGACATGAACCGGTGCCGAGGCTTCACTCTCTCCAAGGCCTCGAAGGAAACTCGGACGTCTCTGAGAAACCTTACTCTTGAGTCTTGCTGCAACTTGCTCTGTCTTGGACCTCTGGATACTCAACCTCGAAGAGCAAAGCCTTCTGCTGTGTTTCTGGGTCACGCTCCTGCACGTTGGCAAAAGTCGTGGGGGCGGCTCTGACACATGCAGACGGCCTTTGTCACTCGGTATCCGGGCCGACCAATCTTCACCGTCTTCCGAGGTCCTGTAAGGAGCTACAATACCTACTGTCGGCCTTCTGATCAGACACTTCCAGTCCTGAAGATGTTTGCGGCTGCGGCTGGATCGTTGCATCCTAGATTGGAGTTTGATACTGTCGATGTATGGTGACCATCGAACCGACTGCATGCTTGAGCTGCCTGTTTCTCGCGCGCGGCTCGTCTGGCCAAGTTGATCTGGTGCTTCTTGCCCTGCGTGTGCGCCAGGTAGCTTCCTGGCAGCATCTGGCAGCCTCTCCACAGTTACCATACAGACCCTGCGCGATGCCTTCGTTCGTGTGAAGCGTCAGGCACAGCTTGCACTCATAGCTGCCAAGGTGGTTGCGCATGAAATAGGGATCCTGTCGACTGCAATGATGCAACCAAAACTAGGAATCTCCGGCGCGGGAGACTGTGGACGACATGAAAGGACATCCGAACAGCGAGACTCGACAAGCGCATCGACACGGAGAGACCTCTCGCATCAGGGCAACTTCACAACGCTTCACACCGCTCTCTGTACAAGTTCTTGTGCACATCTGCCGAGGGGTCACGGGGATTTGATTTACAGGCAACAGGACGGCAGTGGCTCCTTGGACAAGTCAATCGTTTCCAGAGCAAGTTTGCGAAGCCGTTCACGCCTGTCGCCAGACTCCACTGCCATTGCCGAATGGCGACACATGACGACAGCGAGGACACGCCACGGCGAGGCGCCTGTCCGCTGCGATCTCCTGATCTGTTGCGGGACCTCCAGAGCGCGGGCCACAAAAGACGAATGCGCGCGCCCGTTTCCGCGGGCGCCTGCCGTCCCGAACTTGTGACCGACACGATTCTGGAAATCCATCTTTTCACGCCTCAGCATCTCATCTCTCTCACTTGCAAGGGCCGGGGTCTCTTCAAGGCGAAGACTCTTCTCCTCACTTCAGGACCCGCCGAGGGCCGTTGAGGGCCGTTTCTAAGCGCTTCTATGGCGCGCCTCTTTCTTGAGCCGAGGAGGGGGCAAAGTGGCAAGAAGAAGAGTTTTTCCAAGACCGGCAGAGTCCTCTGCTGTTGAGCCACTTTTTGTCCACTCCCGCACATCGTCTCGAGACTCTCACTTCCGTGAAAGGGAACCTGCAAGCGACAAAGCTGCTCCAGCTGTGGATATGCAGGGTCGGTGTGAATCTCGGCCTAGCTTTGGCCCCGTCCAACTTTGGGATGCCTTCCGTGCCAGGAGCAAAAGCCAAGCCATGCATGATCATGCATGCACGTGCCACGTGCCGTGAATGAAGCCCCAAATCATCTTCGAAACAAGAGCCCACCGCCTACCCCAGAATCGGCCTCTAGAGCGGCAGCCAATGCCTGGCAGGCAACTTGCGACTGTGCGGATCTCCCCGGAGTGGTTTCGGACAGAGCAAACCCGATCCAAGAAGGTCTGCCGAGACCTGAGATCCGTAGCATGACTGTAGTGCTATGGGCGTTAAGCTACTCCTTACGCGCAAGAACCCAAGAACTTACAGCTGAGGGGCTTTCGGCTACAATGCCAAATCACCAGGAAGTTGGTTACCGAACATTGCCCGGTCTTGCTGCCGAACCTTAAAGAGATTATGGGGAAGCCGCGGATAACATCACGGGGATGCAGAGAGCGGGAGACCTGGATGTGACAACTAACTAGGGCCTAAATGGGGTTTTAAGGGCACCAAGCCGAACCACGAGTACTTCCACAGACACGCTTGCCTTCTCCGGTCCCGTCCCATCCCTGTCCTGCAAGCAGCGGAGGACAGCGGGCGGGTTGCTTGGCTCCGGCAGCAGGTCTGGTGGGGTGAAGAGGGAAACCTCAGAGACAGCAGGCGCAGGCGCGCAGGCGCTTTGAATCGAGCTCCCTGCCTGGTTTACGCCCAAGGCTGCGCAGGCCTTGTTGCGATGCCCATGCTGCCCATGCTCAGCCCAAACCCTGCACCCCCCCGGCACCACCTTCAGGAATTGCGCGAGACGTCCAAGAGCCACTGCATTGGCCTCAACACTCCCCGATTTCCAAGCCCGACCAGAAACACACGCTGCAAGATCCGGCGAGGAACCTCAGGCAGCACGTCGGGGCGCACCTAAGGCTCTGAACAAGTCACGCACAACAAGGACCCAGACAGAGAGAGAGAGAGGGAGGGAGAGGGAGAGAGAGAGAGAGAGATATATATATATATATATATATAGACCCTGGTTGTATTTCTGTGTTCCTCTTCGAACGGGGCGGACAACGCGAAGCGCCCA